TAGCCTTTTCCCGAAAAAACTTCCCCTGCGTCCAGACTCAAGCTGCGTTCTTTCGAAATTATTTCGAAAGAACGCGGCTTTTCTTTCGATGGCGGTAAACCTCGTTTCACGAGGAAGAACGCCTTCTTTCGAAAGTTCCTCTTTCGAAAGAAGGCGTTCTTCAATGTAAATAGGGCTTCCTCGAAAGAGAGCATCCAGACTCGCTGGGTGCTCTCTTTCGAAAAAGCGGATTGCTCTTTCGAAAGATCCGCCTGCAGTCTAGACGCGATCTTTCAAAAGAGGCCTGCAGTCTAGACATAGCCACAGAGGCTGGCTGTACCAACGTTTTTTCCTTTGAAAGCGATTCTTGTCTAGTGCAAAGAAAGAGAGAAGCAACGTACATTTTCTCCCTAGGCACTTACTTCTGAGTTTAGTTTCTTACAGGGATGCGAGAAGCAATCTCAAATTCAACCGGAGTGCAACATTAATCCGATTAATCAAATTACTTTTGTTGAATGCAGATTAATCCATAACCCTAACTAGGGCTGTAAGGAGAGAGTATCTGTCAATTGTAGGACGTGTGTTAATGATGCTAGTTATTTGGGCTGAATGTGTCCCATTCATAGCTTCTGATGTGAAACTGCGGCTGTCAAAGGCAGGGGAATTTAACTTTGTAGTGTGTCAACCAGGTCTTTATTCAAGCCCAGGGTGACAGTGTCGTCTGAAGAAGTGGGCTGTGCCCACGAAAGCTCATGATACCATCTTGTTTTGTTAGTCTATAAAGTGCTACCAGACCATTTGCTTAGTGTCAAATTCGTAGATGAATTCCAGTTCTGCTATCTCTCTCTAATTCGGTGGTGAAATTCTTTTGTGGGGGGGGGGGGGGGGGGGTCCCCGCAAGAGACCTTAAATATCTTGCCTCGATAGGCTTCTGCTTACAGAAATTCCCTACACTCATTTTAAATATTTCAAAATAAGAACAAAATAAGGAACTTCTTATATGAAACTATATTTACATAACATTAGGTTGTGACACATATGGCCCAATCAGACCAGAAATGCTGTTCTTAAGCAAGCAAAGGAAAATAAGAAAACAAAAACTTTCTTAAATATGATTGTCAAAGAAAAGAGATGAAATTCTCTTCTTTTTTGCTTTCTCCTAATGAGGCTAAAACAGATTTGGATTGTTTCTTTCTTTTCAAAAGTTCTCCCCTTTAATCTGTCTCGCCTTGTAAATTTTAGGAACGTAAAATCGTGCCTTCTGAAGTTTGTTTTTTTTTGAGATTCAGAAACGTGGATTGAGCGCCTCCTGTGCCTTTAATGGACGTGACTTATGTGTTAAATTTCTACCCGAGATATCTTTTCTCCCAGCAGCTGGTCAGAATTTGAATTAAATAGATGTTAACATAAGCAAAGAGGTAACATCTAACTAAAAATTCCTTCTCTTCATATTTCACTGCCATGGTATTTGTGATGTCGTAATGCTAGTATTTCTTTCATTCTCTGTCGAGTCTTTCAGGAAAAATGGGGTACACAAGACCTAAATTTCTCAATATAAGAAAACAAGTAGAATAAAACCAATTTGGCACGTGAGGGAGGGGAAAGTTTTCTTAACTTCGTTATACCTCGGAAAGAAGTAAAACTAAAAGAGAGAGACCCACTTGCTGCTTTTCCTTTCCAAGGAATTGTTAAATTCCTAGGGCTCTTTTGTCTCGATTCTTATCTGAACAGTCCCAGCAAAGTTAACGACAATACTTGTTGAAGACTTCTGTGGGTGAGTAAGGTTTTGTACAATCCTGCCTGTGTTTATGCACTCAATTGCCTACCATACTGCAGATAACTATCTCTGAAGTTGTAGCTTCAGGATAATTAAATTAGTATGTTTTTAAGCATGTCATCACCTAGCCAGAGTGTGCGTGTGGGAAATTAACACTTCCCCATTTTTAACACAGTTCAGACACTCCAATCCATAGCAGTGTACGTTATCACAGCATTATAGACTTGAGATCACCTGCTGTAGAAAACGGTTTAGCCAGTCGGTTTACTGGCTCAGTAACTGAGACTGTTCCTGGATCTGCCGATTGGGATTTGTAAGATGATAGCTTAATTCAGCGGTGCCTCGCGATACAGTGTGTGGGGGGGGGGTTTGGCCCAAGTTACTGTCTTAGGAAGTGATATCAATTTAGCTGCTTATCTGTGATCCGCAGCCTTACAGAAGAATGCTAATGAGTGAGTCATGAAGTAGTTTCCAAACGCTGTCGGAAATACGGCCCTGTGTTTTTCAGTCCTTCCTCCCAAACCGTCAAAGACCCAAGGGCCTCGTCCAGAATTCACTGCATACCGAGGAAGGGCCCCCATTGATTTCTGGGTCAAACGGTAAAAGCGGAGGAAAGAAAACAACTCCCCATCACCGTAAATGTCTATTTTATCCTTTTAAAAACACCGTCGTGCTTAGAAAAGCATCTCTTTACAAAGCTACGTTGGTGTTGCATATTCTGCCTCCGTAACAAACTTGATCAGTCTGCATGCGAAACACAGTTGTTCAGGTGCACAGAGCTCTGTACAGTTAGCCTATGCCCTGTTACCTCATAATTGGGCTGTGTTCCTTATGTGTCATATGTTGCTAACCATCATTAATCAGAAAGACTCAGGAATTGGCACTTCACCTATAGTTTTTGCTCAGTTGTGCAAGGCATAATAAAATACGGTTCCTCTTTCTTGTAGGTAACAAGGCACCCCACTTTAGTGTGTGTGTTTTAACAGTTATGATTATTAGTGGCGCATTTACCCTGTGTTCTACCAAGATAAAATATCGTGAGTCCAAAATTTGTTTAATTGGTGGTGAAAGTTGATGTAGATCTGTGTGCTTCTCTACACGATACTGACTATGTACTGGTTTAAAAATCCTTCTACTTGATGGGTTTTGCTCCCTTGTTTGTCTTTTTATTTTTGTTTTTCAGTTCTCTCCTCCCAGGACCTCAGAGCTAAAATTAGATACTCCTGTTTTGTGCACCGAAAGTTTTTTAGTTTTTTATTCTTTCCTGTTGTAACCCACTAACTAATTTAGACAGTGCCTGCATAAGAAAATAGAGATTTTTAACTAGAATCTGAATGTGCACGTATATTACCACAGATAGAAAATCCTTTTAATAGACTTTAGTAGAATGGCATTCTTGTTTAATTTAGTTTTTTTTCCCCTGTTTTATATGCCTCTGGCATGCCGTTAGTGTGCTTTGCAAGTTATTGTAAAGAACCCCACAAATAGTTCCCTGGGTGAGTGGAAGTGGTATTCTTTGCTTACTTGCACACTTTTAGAAGTGGCTGGTTTCAGACAGGAATTGTAATTTTGCGGTTTTGGTATTACTGGAGCATTTCGGTTTGTAGCCTTGTGTCATTTCGTTTCTCAGCTGAATCAGTCAGATGCGATGGAAGTTGATTATGGATCCTCGGTATAGTCATTGCATAGGAATGAGGCAGATTACAGTTTTCATCCCTATAAAGGCTGGCATTTGCATAGTTGGAGTAAAAAAATTGGCATTAATACTTTCAAAGGCATCCGTTTGCACAACTTCAGGTAACTTAAAAAAATTGGGGTTAGGAATTAGGGTTATATGATCTCTTCTCTTCTCTTCTCTTCTCTTCTCTTCTCTTCTCTTCTCTTCTCTTCTCTTCTCTTCTCTTCTCTTCTCTTCTCTTCTCTTCTCTTCTCTTTGTCTAAACCAGCATTTCTCAACCTTTTGTTGCTCATGGCCCCCTTCTGAGACTCGTTTAGCTCTGTGGCCCCCTCCCATAGCCGCTGTTAGTTGGGAAAAAAGGTACATAATTTACCTAATGTTCCGTTTTTTCTATGTGGCTCCCTAGAGGGTAGGGCGTGGCCCCTGGGTAGCCATATGGCCCACAGTTGAAAACCACTTGGTCTACGCTACAGAATTTTCCAGGATACCTCCAGGGAATACGTCTGCTTTTTTCGGAACAGTTTCTGAAAAAGCCGGCATGTTCTTTCAGAAACCCTGTATTCCTCATTTTGGGTATGTCTAGACTACGTTGTTTTTTTAAAAAAAAAACCTGCGTCCACTCTGCAATCGCGTTCTTTTTAAATTAAATCGAAAGAACGCAGGGGGGTTTTCAACATTGGTAAACCTCAAATTACGAGGAAGAATGCCTTTTTCGAAAGAGCTCTTTTGAAAAAAGGCACGTGTGGATGCAGAATGGGCATTTTTTGGAAAAAAGCACAGGTGATCTGGTGGCCATTCTGTGAATAACAATCGGGGCTTTCTTCCGAGAGATTGTCCATGCAGTCTGGATGCTCTCTTTCGAAAAAGCAGATCGCTTTTTTGATCCGGTCTTGAGGTGTGGATGCTCTCTTTCGAAAGAAGCTTTTTCAAAAGAGCTCTTTCGAAAAAGCTTTCGAAAGAAGCTTGCAGTCTAGACGTACCCTTTATGAGGAATAAGGGCTCTTCCAAAAGAGGAGCTTTTTCCTACATTTGGCCCCATGTAGGCAGGCCAAATGTCGGAAAAGCCTTTTCCAAAAATAAAAAAAGCAGAAAAAGATATGCAAATTGCAAATCTTTTTCCAGAAGAAGATAGCCGTATAGATTTTCCTTTCCTCTTCCTCTTCCTCTTCCGCTTCTCTCTTGCTGAATAATATCTTTTAATACATTCTTGTTGGGAAGAGCATTGAGATATCTTATGGGCAGTTTTTCTGACTCATTCCCTTCCAAGACTCATGCTTTAACCAGGACGCTATGAGCTTCATAACTCTATATGACCCTTTCGAAGCTTTTTGCTTTCAACAGTAGAAGTTGTTCCCGTAAAAGATATTACCGTACCCACCTTCAGGTATATTTAGATCTGGCTAGTTTATGAACTCTTATGCTATAGCTAGCAGTTGTTGTTTTTTAATAAATTGGGGAAAATTAGTGTGGTAACTGTAATTTGATGTACTAGTAACCTGCTTTGGGGGGGGAAAATAAATGCCTTTTGATTTGAAAATTTTTGAAATATAATCATTTATTTTGCAGCTTGACGTGTCAGAAACACAACATCTGAAACTTGCTGGTTCAAAGAAGACTCATTTGATACATATTACTATTTGGTAAGCTTATAGATTTTATTATGTTGTCTAGACAAGTTTTTCCACCCGTTTCCGCAGCTATCATTGATCAGTCTGTTCGTGAAATAAGAGGCAAATTAAAGTCAATATCCTGTGCAGGATCTTTTTTTTTCCCCAGCTGTGGAACATGTGCTCCAGAATCTTTCCCTTAAAAAAAAAAAGTTTTCTAGTCCTTTTGGTTGTAAAGAAAATGTTACAGATGTGAACCAGTAAAGCTCTGGTTTCCTGAGGCTGTGTTAACACAACTAGCTAACGATGGTCATATGTCAGGAGTGCTAACCAGGTCACTTCTGAGCAGTTGGCAGGACTATTCAGTGAGTTTTAGGTGCAGTGCAGACATCCGGGCGAAGCAGTAGGGGAGACTGTTACTCTGAAGGATTGCTGGAAGAGGAAATTGAGAATTCAGACCCCTCTCCTAAAATAATTTCAAGCCACCTCTGCCCTCAGGGTGAACCCAACATCAGCTGTCTCCAGCCTGCTTCTTAGGCACACTATCACTTATCGAAGCTTCCGGGGTAGCCAAATTAGTCTGTACAGCAGTGGTCTCCAACCTTTTTACGCCCAAGATCACTTTTTAAATGACAGACGAAGCCAAGATCTACCGCCCCGACCCTTCCTTGAAGCCCCGCCCTCTCTATTCTCCTCTTTTCCATCACTTGCTATCCCCAATCCTTATACTGCTACTTTAAAAAAAAATTCCCACCATTCCTCGCAGCTACTCACCTGTGCTGTTGCTCGGTGAGTGGGAAATCTAATGTAAATGTACTGTGCAGGCGCGCAGTTCAGAGAGGGCTTAAGAGCTACTCTTAGAGCCTCCGAGATCTATTGGTAGATCGCGATTTACTGGTTGGTGACCACGGCTGTACAGGATAAACTTAAAAAACAACAAATGGTCTGGTAGCACTTTATAGAGCCGTGGTCACCAACCAGTCGATCGCGATCTACCGGTAGATCTCGGAGGCTCTAAGAGTAGCTCTTGAGCTCTCTCTGAACTGTAGCAGTATAAGGATTGGGGATAGCAAGTGATGGAGAGGAGGAGAATAGAGAGGGCGGGGCTTCAAGGAAGGGGCGGGGCGGTAGATCTTGGCTTGGCCTGTCATTTAAAAAGTGATCTTGGGTGTAAAAAGGTTGGAGACCACTGTTATAGAGTAACAAAACATACAGATGGTACCACGAGCTTTCATGGGCACAGCCCGCTTCTTCAGATGACCAGAGTTTGAGCTCAGGATGTGCACTTACATTGGCAAAATCTATGTCGCTCAGTGAACAACACTCTCCCGCCCCGGCCCAGTGACATAAGTTTTGCTGCCATCCTTCTAGTGTAGACATCCCATTCGATACCAAACCTAAATCATGATAACACTTCTCAAATATCTAAAAGGGTGTCACAAGGAGGAGGGAGAAAAGTTGTTCTCCTTGGTCTCTGAGGATTGGACAAGAAGCAATGGGCTTAAACTGCAGCAAGGGAGGTTGAGGTTGGACATTAGAAAAAACTTCCTAACTGTCCGGGTAGTGAAACGCTGGAATAAATTGCTCAGGGAGGTTGTGGAATCTCCATCTCTGGAGATATTGAAGATCAGGTTGGGTAGACATCTATCGGGAATGGTCTAGATGGTGCTTGGTCCTGCCATGAGGGCAGGGGACTGGACTCGATGACCTCTTGAAGTTCCTTCCAATTCTATGATTCTATGGGCTGAGGTCTACCCCATTGAAACATTTGGGAGTTTTTCTTCTTGGCTTTAGTGGCAACAGAGTGAGAGCAAAGCTGCTCGCTTGAAATACCATAGCAGCGTTTGTCCATTTTTGTCGACAAAACCCTGTAGTCTAGACACGCCCTCTGATTCAGAGCCCTTCTCAAGAGGAAACAAAAGACAGGACTGTGGAGCACTTTAAAGACTAACAAGATGGTTTATTAGGTGATGAGCTTTCGTGGGCCAGACCCACTTCCTCCGATCAAATTGTGGAAGAAAATTGGCACGACCGTATATACCAAAGAGATACAATCAAAAAAAAGTGACCAGACTAACACGGCTACATCTCTAGTACTCTTCTCAAGAGGGTTATCCTCAGCTCCAGCATGGCCTAGACAGCTTTGGTTTGCCCTGCTGCTGAGCCTCTCCCTCGGACCTCATCATAGGCTCCATCACCCCAACCTGGAGTCCCTCCACCTCACAGCATGGTTGAACCCCATAGAGCTGGGTGCTCCAACCGGTCCAAGATATCCCCATAGGAAGAAGAAGACCACCCACCAGGGCTACGTACCTTGGAAACGGTTCTCCTTGTGGTGACATCACAAGGACTTCTGGGTCCATGTTTCCTAGACAGTGTCCTACAGCTAAAGCAGCAAGGGCTGACGCTCCCCGGTTTTCCCCTGCCTGCCATTTCCATATTTCACTCAGAAGTCTGTGTTTACGGCCCCCATCGTAACCAGTTTTCTAAAGGGGCTACTCCCCGGTGAGGTGCCCCTTCTCCGGTGGGTCTTGAACCGTGTGCTGACAAAGCTTATGGGGGCAGGGGACGGTCACAGAGGACCTCTTGGAATTTTTCCCTGGTGTGCTGATGATGTCACTGATATTTGCTGCCGTACTCTCTGGGGCTCCCCACCACCCTGTTCTGTGGGGCTAGATTCTCTGGTTTGCCCCACACAAGGCACAGAGCTGGGGCAACCGCCCTCCACCCCAAGAGCAATGTAGACCCCGAACCACTTCAGCCCTGGGAGGATGCAGATCTAGGGCACAGCGCCCAGTTTTACCCAAAGAAAGGCCATTCAGGTAAGCCCCCTTTTTCAAAGAAAGGATGTGCATGCTGATTGTTCGCCCCAGGTTCCAGTTTACAAGGTTGCACGTTTACACGGGGCTTGATAGTAAACAAAAGTGTTTTTATTCACCACCACGAGTAGGATTTAAGCAGCTGTGAGTGGAAGCAGACAGGTCAAAGCAAGTTAGAGCATTAAAAAAAAAAGGAAACGCATAGCTAGTTCTAAAATACTAACAGGGTGGCCAACCCATTCTGGGCAAAGTTGTCGAGTGGGGAAAGGAAAAAAAAAAAGGACTGCCCCTTTAAAAGGAGACCCCAGTCACGTTTGGTCAAGCAAAAAAAAAAAAAAAAAAAATCTGCCCCTTTAAGAGAATGTGTTTAGAAGCTTTTTGACCTGCCAGCTGACGCCATCTTAATACTCTACCTTGAATGGCTATGCTGGACGACTCCCTTGCCCTTGTTCTTCTAGCAACATAGTTTAAACACAACATTGGATTAGTTTTGGTTAAAAAAAAGGCATGTATTTAACTATCAAGAGAGAGATTTTAAGTGAGTACAAATGTAAGCAGTTGGGTCAGAAATGCTTATGAAAAAATAAAGATAAAACGCTTTCTAGTAGCTATATATTGACAAACTAGAGTTGGTTGAAGATAAAATCCTTATCATATGTTCCCAGCAACATAGCTGACCAATTTCTCAAGTCATGGTCCCCAAACACCAAAGAACTCATGCCTTTCTTGTCCTAAGTGAAAGAGAAGACCGTGAGATGGTAAGTTCTGTTGACCTAATGTCGACAGAACGCGGCAGTTTTGTGGACAGCGGTAAACCTCCTTCTACAAGGCATAATGCCTTTTGTCGACAAAACTATACCTGCGTCTACACTACCGCTAAGTTCTGTTGACCTAATGTCGACAGAACGCGGCAGTTTTGTGGACAGCGGTAAACCTCCTTCTACAAGGCATAATGCCTTTTGTTGACAGAGTTCTGTCGACAGAAGGTGTTATTGCATCTACACCGTCCTTTGCGTCCACGCTGTCATCTCGACCAATCGTCTTGCTTTGTCGACAGAACTGGATGTAGTCTAGACGCTCTTTGTGAACAGAAGCTTTGTCGACAGTATCTGACGAGAAAGCCTCTGTCAACAAAAGCCTGTAGTCTAGATGTACCCAAAGAGCCTGTTTACTAAAGGTAAATTGAGGTAAGCATTCCTTTAAGATAGACCTACTTAATAGACCTACTTAACTACTTCTGCCTAATCAGAACTCCCTGGGTTTGAACATTTTCTACCAGCATCCTGCAGGGAGGAATCATAATTTCACATATAATGTTGCTACACTATGAAATTATTGACCAGTGAGTTATTGGTTTTCCGAGGATCTCTCCGGAGGCATATTTTGTACAAAAAGTAGCATAAAAGTGTGTGCTGTGAATACAGGGTACATTGTCACATATATATTAATGGTTTGGTCTGCTCTCTGTTTGCCCATATTGAATATAATCAGGCAACCGCCAAATATTGAGATCTAAGTGAGTTATTTTGTGTTGGGCGCAGTACCTTTTGTAGTAGAAAATTATCATTGTAAGCAATCCCTTGATTCAAGAAGGACCTCTACCCTAGATTTATGTATGGGTTCTGAGTAATGTTCCCTCTATTTTTTCCATTTCTGGGCAGAATAAATTTTGTTATGTGCACCAAGGCATGTGTGTATGTGCACCCCCAGTAGAAACACATGCTGCTTGGTTGTGGGCAGCTCTGGGTGCTCTGACATTCGAATCTCTCCTGGGTGGGTGTCCAAGCTCATGGCTTACAGGGAATACTGTATAACTTGTCCCCAACTCTTTTTTTCCTCTCAATAACTTTCGTGTCTCTCCCTCCCCCCCAACATGAGAGGACTCAAGAGTCCGATTCTAGCTCTGCCTGCAGTAGGTCCAGATATTTCCTGATGGATCAGCTGCCTGTTGTGAGAAACGTCTTTATTTTTCCTTCCTTTTCTCTCTCTTCTCAGCTTCGAGGGCAAGGTGTTTCTTCTCAAAGCAGTCTACAGCTTGATGGAAGATGTGGCGCCTTTAAGGTTGGTTCGTTGCTTTTTCCTCCCAGCTTGTGATGGCCACATAAGTTGGCTTGAGAGATGCTTTCAGTGTCTTTTTGCAGTGTTTCCTCTGACCATCAAGGCATCACTGATTAGGGATGTAAGCGACTAATCCAGGGCTACTCAACATGTGGCCCACGGCCCGTTTGATTGCGGCCTGCGGTGCAGTTTGGGTTTACACTAGGGATGGTCTAGACAGTACTGGGTCCTGCCATGAGGGCAGGGGACTGGACTCAATGACCTCTCGAGGTCTCTTCCAGTTCTAGCGTTCTGAGATTCTGTAGACATCTACTAGGGATGGTCTAGGCAGTGCTTGGTCTTGCCATGAGGGTAGGAGACTGGACTCGATGACCTCTCGAGGTCCCTTCCAGTTCTAGTGTTCTATGATTCTATGATACACGGGGCTCAACACATGGCCGGCGGGTGGGAGCCAAAACAAAAAAGTAGACAGTACAATGGAATTCTGTTGATATGTGTTTTAGTCGTTAAATTCCTGGGCTGTCATTGCTCATTCAGAGTGCTGTCCTATGGGTGGAAATTGGGTAGATATTGCATTTTATTAATATCAGCAGAACGGACTTAAATGGGGCCTGCGTGTTGTGAAGTCTTGCCGTAAGCTTTGTATTCATGCCCGCCAATGTGAAAGAAGTTATTTGCATATCTATTTGCATGTATATGCAACCACACATAAGTTGCAGCCCTCGGCATGTGCCCGGAGTATCATTGTGGCCCCCGGAGCTTCCAAAGTTGAGTAAACCTGGGCTAATTGCCTATCTGATAAGCAAAAGCTTACTGGATGGTGGACACACTAGTCCAGTGTTTCTTAAACTTTTCAAGACTGAGGAACACCAAACAATAATTTTTTTTATGCAGAACACCAAGGATTTTTTGTTGGGGGGAAGGGGGAGGAAAAAGTTGGGGCGGGGGGGGAGACACGAAAGTTATTGAGAGGAAAAAAAGAGTTGAGGACAAGTTATTCAGCAAAAAAAAGGCTCCTGCTCCTTTAAGGGTGGCCATTTTGAATTCTGTTCACCGGTGTGCCACAGAACACAGTTTAAGAAACACTGCCCTAGATTAACGCACGTTCATTTTTTTAACGCGTTAATTCTGCCCTGCGTTACTCGCAGGCGTCAATGCGCATTAATTGACGGCCCTATGAAAGATACAAATAGATTAGTCTATTGGTTACAGGCAGTCTGTTCAGTGGTGATTTTTCAGAATGCATCAAAACAGCCAGGCGTATTTCACAATGGCGTGCGCTTGGACGGCAAGTTAGTTTGCATGGACTTCATCTCTTTCTGCGTGTTGAATTGGGGTTTTCTAGCTAGGCTCTTGGTCTTTCACATTAACTTGGCCTTTACGATCATTGATTTGCCGACAAATGAGAGAATCAGTTTGGCTTCCCGTTTACACGTTGCCGTTTTGTTTTCCAGCTTTGACCATTACGGGAGGAAGAGCCTCAAAGTATTGTGAGCAGAGACGAGGATTTTCTCCTCCGGGCCTGGGCCTGTCATGGTAAGCGCATGGGTTTTGTTAGGATTGACTAAAACGAAGTACGAGAAGGATGAGAGTAGGTACATGGGGTATAAGCGATTAGTTGACTAGTCAACTACCCGATAAGCAGGGCTTGACAAATCCGCTTATCTACTCGCCTATGGCGAGTAGATTTCAGCCGGTCGTCCCGTTCACTGGTGGCACGTACATGCGCAGTGCAGGTCTGGCGCATGCACGGTACGGGGCTGGCGAGTGGGTTTTCGCCACGGTCCTCCCCCTGCCCCGCCCACCCTTGCTGCCTCTTTAAGAGAGGGGGAGCAGGAGCTGGTGCTGAGGGGACCCGGCTTAAAAGCCGGGTCCCCCCTCCCAGCACTGTCTTGGAGGCAAAAGAGGCAGATGCGTAGCAGGGGACTGGGTGCGAGCTGGGAATCAGCGGATTCCTGGCTCGGTCCCGGCCCCAGACTCAGCGTGTCTGCTTTCCAAATGGATTAAGAGCTGCCAGGCTGTTTGAAATGAATTTGTGAGTGCAGTGTTATTGGTACGCTGTGTAGAGCCAGGCTGTTTAAATTATGCAGGAGAAGTGCAGATGTATGTAGTACAGATGGCACATCCAAAACCAGCACTTTCTGGTCCGGAAACATCTGTGGTCCGGCAGGATCACGGATGTTCTGGGACCCTAGTGGCAGGAGAGCTAGCAGTGAGGGGTTGGGGCCGGAGCCTGGGGCAGCCAGGGAGCCAGGATCAGGGACTGGGGCCGGAGTGTGGGGCAGCTGAAGCCCGCAGCAGCCTGTCCGAGGTCGTAGCCTGTGTAACAAAAGAAAGAGGTTCCAAATCTGTAAATATTGTAAAATTGCGGGCTACCAGTCACGTAAAATTGCAATATTACGTCACTTCTTTTAGTCACTGGTAGCTGAATTTTCTTAATAGTTCATCATGCCCAACTCTTTCATTGGTCACGGGGAATTCTTCCTGCCTTCTGTCAGCGGAGACGTCTGCCAAGGGTGGGTAAAGGGTTGAAATGAACGGTGAAGTTTTGCTTCTAGGATGAAGAGACTCAGCACAGCCTTGAATGCATTCAGGCTAATCAGATCTTCCCAAGGAAGCAGCTGATCCGAGAGGATGAAAATCTTCAGGTAGTCACTGGATTACTCTTTGCCTTTGCTGTACGAAAAAGTGTGCCCATCTGTTCCCGCTCGGTCTAATCTGAGTCACACAGGACAGCAGCTGAGTTTTCTGGGTCGGTCTCTAGCACTGAAGTCGCAATACAATGATAGGGAAGATAAGAACGTTTTCTTTTGACGCAAATCGCTGTGCCAGACAGAGAAACCATGCAGGACCGTGTCCAAAGAATTCCCTTAAAACTTTCTCAAAATTATAGCTCACTTAGCATATCCAGGGACTTTGCAATCACCTTGAAATTTTAATTTTTCCTCTTAATCTAGCAAAAGGTTGATTTGATGATAAGAACTGTTTATGCGTTACACTGGAATTATTTGTTTAGCCATTTTACTGCCAGCAAAAATGGATAAACAAAGAATTCCAGTGTTTCGCATAAACAGTTCTTATCATCAGATCAACCTTTTGCTAGATTAAGAGGAAAGTGATAGAGATGCAGCCGTGTTAGTCTGGTCTAGCTGAAACAAAAGACAGGACTATGTAGCACTTTGAAGACTAATGAGATGGTTTATTAGGTGATGTATAAAGTGTATAAATGGATAAAGTGTATTTTTCGATGTCTGATAACTACAAAATGTTGTCAGGAATTTTCATCACCTGGCTTTTAAACTCATTTAGCTAAGCTGGTGGCAAGCACCATGTAAATACTCTTATTTTGGTGTAAGGGTACGTCTAGACTACAGGGCTATTTCAGGGTCCGGCTAGACTACAAGGGTACGTCTAGACTACGGGGCTATTTCAGGGTACGTCTAGACTACAAGGGTACGTCTAGACTACGGGGCTATTTCAGGGTACGTCTAGACTACAAGGGTACGTCTAGACTACGGGGCTATTTCAGGGTACGTCTAGACTACAAGGGTACGTCTAGACTACGGGGCTATTTCAGGGTACGTCTAGACTACAAGGGTACGTCTAGACTACGGGGCTATTTCAGGGTACGTCTAGACTACAAGGGTACGTCTAGACTACGGGGCTATTTCAGGATACGTCTAGACTACAAGGGTACGTCTAGACTATGGGGCTATTTGAGGGTACGTCTAGACTACAAGGGTACGTCTAGACTACGGGGCTATTTCAGGGTACGTCTAGACTACAAGGGTACGTCAGGGTCCGGCTAGACTACAAGGGTACGTCTAGACTACGGGGCTATTTCAGGGTACGTCTAGACTACAAGGCTATTTCCAAGGAACGCGTCTGCTATTTCGAAATAATTTTTGAAATAATAGATGTGCTATTTCGGCATCCCTGTAAACATTGTTCCACAAGGAATAAGGGATGTTTCAAAATAGTGCTTTCTTTCGAAACGTGGTGCCGTGTTGACGCACCAAATCTCGAAATAGCCTATTTTGAAATAAAATCGAAATAAGATACACAATTTCCGTAGCGCAAATTGCGTATCTTATTTCGATTTTAGAGTGCAGTCCAGAGGTAGCCTAAGAATCATTTATTTCAATTTAACGTAAACCTATGTCTGAGATGTTTGCTGTAAACCAGGGCTCTCAAATTCACAACCTGTTGGCCACCCTCGGCCAGAGCAATTTTGCAATCCGGCCCAGGAATCCTAGTGGGTGGGGGAGGGGAAGGGCCCTCTGCATTCAAGTTACCCCATAACCTTCTTTTTGTTAAACAAATTCAATTGCGCGCCTTCAGGCTAGCACTATAAGGCATGTATTTTAATCCTTTAATCATTCTTGTGACTTCTCTGACCTCCCTGCATTTTATCAACACCCTTCTTGAGTTGTGGATACCAGAACTGGACACAGCATTGCAGCAGCGGGTCGTACCGGTGCCAAACATAGAGGTATAACACCTTTAGTTAAACCAGCGCAACTTTGTTTTGTATTATGAGCCCATAAGTTTAGGTTTCGCCAAGGCTAGCAAAAAGAAGCCACAGCACATGGTTTTTTTTTTTTTTACAAGTTTACACTGAAAAATAGGCAGGTGCTTATATTTGAAATGGATTTGAAGAATCTCAAGACGTCCGGAAACCATAGGATTTGTAGATTTGTGTTTGCATACTTCCAAATTTCTGCTGTGCTTGCTAAACCGGTTATTTTGTTGTTGTTGTTGGGGAGGAAGAGGGTAGGAATTGGAAGAGTTTGCTACGTGTTTCGAGCGATTGAAAGAGTTTGCTATTGTCGGGGAGGAAGAGGGAAGGAATTGAAAGAGTTTGCTACGTGTTTTGAGCGATTGAAAGAGTTTGCTATGTGTTTCGAGCGATTGAAAGAGTTTGCTATGTGTTTCGAGCGGAAGAAATGAGGCCGCATTTTGATATTTTAGCTCGTTTGTGTCATTGCTCATCAGCAAATATACATCTAACCCTTTTCAGCCTAATGTGGCGTTCTATCCGGAGGCATTGGGGTTGTGCCAAGTTTACTGGCTAAATGATTTGGTGAGCATGTGTGTCATGAGACGCGGGTTTTAGCCCAGGCCTGCAAGAGCTTAGCCCAGGCCCCCCAAGGGACCAATCCTATTTGACTTATTTCTAAATGATCTACAGAAAGGGGTAAACAGTTAGATGGCAAAATTTGCAGATGATACCAAACTGCTCAAGATAGTTAAGACCAAAGCAGGTTGTGAAGAGCGCCAAAAAGATCTCATCAAACTGAGCAATAAGGCAATAAAATGGCAAATGAAAATTAATATTGATAAATGTAGAGCAGTGTTTCTTAAACTTTTTGAGACCATTGAACACCAAACAATAATATTTTTTATGCGGAACACCTATGAAAATTTTCTTAAAAAAACCAAAATTGTCGTCAGCCAAAAAAAGACAAAAACAAAGAAGTAACAAAAACATCTGCAAGTTGTTCACGGGCTCTGCAGAACGTAGTTTAAGAAACACCGATGTAGAGTAATGCACGTTGGAAAAAATAATCCCAACTATACGTACAATATGATGGGGACTAATTTGGCTACAGTTACTCGAGAGAGATCTTGGAGTCATTGTGGATCGTTCTCTGAAAACATGCACTCGGGCTGCAGGGGCCGTCAGAAAAACAAACCGAACGTGAGGAATCATTAAAAAAGGGATAGAGAATAAGACAGAACATATCTTATTGCCTCAGTATAAAACCATGGGACGCCCACATCTTGAATACTGTGTACAGATGTGGTCTCCTCACCTCAAAAAAGATATTTTGGCCTTGGAAAGGGTTCAGAAAAGGGCAACTAAAATGATTAGGGGTTTGAAACGGGTCCCATACAAAGAGAGATTAAAAAGATTTGGACCTTTCAGCTTAGAAAAGTGGAGACGAAGGGGGGATATGATAGAGGTCTGTAAAATCATGACTGGTGTAGAAAAAATGAATAAGAAAACATTATTTACGTATTCCCACAGTATAAGAACTAAGGGTCACCAAATGAAATGAATAAGCGGCTGGTTCAAAACACACGAAAGGGAGTTTTTCTTCACTCAGCACATAATCGACCTGTGGAACTCCCTGCCAGAGGATGTGGTGAAGAATAGGACTTTAACAGGGTTCAAAAAAGAGCCAGATAGATTCATGGAGGTCCATCAATGGCTATTAGCCAGGATGGGTAAGAAATGGTGTCCCTAGACTCTTTGTCAGAGGGTGGAGATGGATGGCAGGAGAGAGATGGCTTGATTATTCCCTGTTCGATTCACTCCCTCTGGGACACCTGGCATTGGCCACTGTCGGCAGACAGGGTATTAGGCTGGATGGACCTTTGGTCTTACCCAGTATGGCCGTTCAGAGAACGCCTGGCAGTTCTTATGAGAATGACAGACCTGATCTAGGCAACGTTGTCACACAGACTTGAAGAACCAGCCAGCGCCGCTCCCGATGTGAAATCCAACTCCTACGCTGGCTTCGGAGCCTGACACTCTCTCAGCTATTCACCTGAATTTCTTTCCGTTGCCTCGTGCTAATCAAAGAAAAGCTAAACTTCCCTCCCACCCCATTGGATGGGCAATAATTTTTATTGCCCAGAGGTGGGCAATAATTTTTGACAGGGGGGCCACTCCAAGATTTTGGAAAGTGGTTAAAGACCGCACTCTTCCATGGTATTAATGGAGGAGGTGCGGGGTCAGGGATGGAGGTTGAGTCCAGAGGGGAGCTTGGGGTAAGGGACTGGGGTGCAGGAGAGGGATTGGAGTCTGGGAGGGAGTTTGGGTGAAGGAGGCAGTTGTGACCTCGGGCAGGGGACTGGTGTGCAGGAGTTTGAGATGGGACATAAGGTAGGAGGGTATTGAGATTGGGCTATCAGATCTGGGAGGAGGTGTGGGTACAAGAAGGGGATAGAGGGTTTGGATATGTTGATGGGGGGGGGCAGAAGGTTCGGGCAGGGAGAGGCTGGGGGAGCAGAGGCAGGCTGTGGCCAGTAGACATACCAGCCTGCCTGTCTAAAAACATTGCCTGGCCATGTGCTTCAATGAAAAATTGAGCCGAGGAGAGGGGGCCTGGTTCTTCGTGGCTGCCTGTTATTCAAACAATCAGTTCCCATTGACTGGTTTCTGGCCAGAAACCGGCCAATGGGATGGTGCTGGGGGCAGGGCGGCTCCTGAGACATACCCACTCCCCTCCAGTTGTGAAACAGAAAGGAAGCCCGCCAGCCGTGTTTCTGCACGATGTGCGGGGCAATCAGTGGAGCCTGCCTCTGTGGGCCAGATCCAGTGGCTTGGCGGGCCGGATGCAGCCCCTGGGCCGCATTTTGCCCAGGACTGTCTCTTGGCAACAGATCCATTCAGGAACTCTTGACCACTTCGGAGCCTTGCCGAGTGGACAAAAGGTCAGCGTACCTCCCGCCAAGACAATCTAAATGGCTTTTGTTCTGTATTGGAAATTGCTCTATGATGCCGTGCGGGGATTGACTTCCGCTGATCCGGGCCTTTTCCACCAGAGCAGATGGCAGGGGTTGGAGGGAAGGCTTTGGGGGCCGAGCCTTTCTTATCCCCATGGGCCACAGAGGTGCAACACACGTGGTAGAGAAACGCAGTTGCCCTCGGACAACTGTTCTTTTCTCTCGCTGGCCGTTCTAAGCGCAAGCTCAGAGCTGAGAGTTAAGCTGAGTTGTTGGGTTTTTTTGCTCATCGTCACAAATCATAGAGGTTCTTTAGATTAGATGCACGCGCTATAGTCCTGTTGTCTGCTGGGTGTGTACAAATGAAAGTAACGGGAGCGTAGCAAACAGCACATTCAGTGGTGCCTCGGGAAGGAAGGAACGATTTCTCTTACGTGGCTAACGAGAACAGAACGTTTGTGACCTAAAGTAAGCGGGCGTGACTGGGACTATCCGCCGGGAGCTGTTTCAGTGAGTACTGTTGTACATGATCTCCTGTCGGAGCAGAACGGCCCATGGTTGTCATTTTTCCGTAACTCAGACATCTTGAAGGATTTTGGTCCGACTGCCACAGATATTATTTCAGAGATAGTCAGCCTGTGGAACTCCTTGCCTGAGGAGATTGTGAAGACTGCGACTATAACAGGGTTTAGAAGAGAACTAGATAAATTCATGGGGGTTAAGTCCATGAATGGCTATTAGCCAGGATGGGTAGGGTTGATGTCCCTAGCCTCTGTCACAGGGTGGAGATGGCAGGAGAGAAATCGCTTGATCGTTCCCTGTTCTGTTCACTCCCTCCAGGGCACCCCTGGCATTGGCCGCTGTCAGCAGATAGGTTACGGCGCTGGATGGACCTTTGGTCTGACCCAGTGTGGCCATTCTTATATTCTGATCTTTGGTCTGCCACCAAGCATGGCTCTTTTTCAGCCCCAAAGAAGAACATTGTGAGACAAGTTATGTGTGTGTTACAATAAAGCTAGACAGGACGGACGCACAAACCTGTACCTGGCTTTCCCTGCCAGTCGTAAAAACATCTCACGTGCCACGCAGTGTTCCAAAGCCCCCGTAGAGCGGGAGCGCGGGCAGCTGGAGCGGGCATTGGGAGCCCGTGTTTCCTAACGGTCGTCTTTCTCCTTGCGTTCTGAAGGTCCCCTTCCCTGAGCTTCATGGCGAGAGCACGGAGTATGTGGGACGCGCCGAGGATGCCGTTATTGCACTTTCTAATTATCGACTGCACATCAAGTTCAAGGAATCCGTGGTGAACGTAAGTGTCACGCGTCCGACTCCCGCGGTGCGCGGAATGGAGCCGGGATTGTTCCCTCTGCTTACGCGTTCGAACCCTTCCACTCCCTGTGTCTGCTCGTCTAGTTAGCTACTTGTGGCGGGAGCTGTCCGCTGCCCTGTATTTGCATATTGCCTTGGACAGGGAGCACCGTTCGTGGTTGGTGGTTACGCATCGTCATAATAACCGTGAGCAAGGCGACGGGTCCATCATGGAGATCCTCATAACTCAGTCTCCTCTGGCATGGCTTGAGCCCCCTCTCTGGGTAGCCGACTTCCGTATCGATGCGTTACTGTGTCTGTTTCTGCCATTGGTGGTTCATTACCTGCCTCCCGCCCTTGACTTTTAATCCAATAAAATTGTAGCCGTAACCAGGATTAATCTAATCGAAACTATTATAAAAGGAGAGGGGTCCGTCACGCCGTCTGTCAGCGAACATTTGGGAATGCACTGGAAGATGTGAGGCATGTCTAGAAAAACCCAGAACGAGGAAGAACACGCCAGAACTTTCTAGAAGTTTGTTGACAAACGTTCCGACACTCCAGGAAGCCGGGGCAGCTGCGGCACCAAGGGGTGCTTCTTCCACACGGGTCGATGTGGAGCCTCTGCCGGCCGGGTGGGTGAGGCGGGAGCAGGGCCATGGGAGATTGGCACTGCCACCGGGTGGGCGGGCGGCTGGGAAGCCGTAGCCCTGGCAAAGGGCGTTGAGCCGGGAGCGAACGCAAGGCCCTGGTTCGTCACTAGGAGCTACGTCCCCCTGGCCTGGGCCTGGAAACTCCCCTCAGCGTCAAAGCCACCCCGGCTTGCTGGAAAGACCCGTCGTGTCGGGGAGGGCGGAACGGGGGCCTAGCAATTTCGACAGCTGCAAAATTGGAACTCGGAATTAGGGCTACAGTGAAAATTGTCTTTAGGTCACCTGCAGGGGATAAAGCGGGTGAGGACAGTGACAGAGGGCAAATTGATATTCAGGTACTAAACCAGGGGTGGGCGAAAGCACCTCAGCTTTGATCCAGCCCGCGAGGCAGTTCCAGGCCCCGCCCACTCGCGCCAAGCCACCGCCGGCAACACGAGAGCCCTTGAAATAGAAAACAGCGGAAGGGGCCGTGCCTCTAGGCAAGGCGCAGGGAAGACGCGAGCCCCTAAAATGGAAGCCATTAGAAGGGTTCGTGCCCCTCCCCCGCTCCGAGGCAATGCGCTAGGGGGCGGGGCCTGGAATTGCCTCGTGAGCCCTAGGTGAGGGGGCCCGCGGAGGCTGTCACCCTCCCCTGTTCCCCGATCATTTTGGATAATGTGGTATGCAGTTAATTATTATTAAAATGCCATTACTTGGTTGTGTAAAAAACATAGAGGTGTCTTTTCACACCACGTGGCCCGCCCCCTCCGTCCGAGGTCCCGCCCTCTCTGCCCAAGGCCCCGCCCCTCCGCCCGAGGCCCCGCCCCTTTCACCTGCGGCCACGTCTGAAATTTGTGAAATGATTTGTCCGTCTCCTTCAAAAACGATTGTCCGCCTCCGTACTAAACTAAGACGCCCAATTCTCAGTTTCTCCGGCTCTCAGAGGTGGGAGGCGCAAGCTACTTTTCCAGTCCTGTTGACGAGCCTGACTTTTTAGGGACCCGTTTTTGAAACCCGTATGGGACGTGGCCAGGTTCTGACCGTAGGAAATGAAATGTACTCTGCTTTTTCTGGGGCCAAAATGGAGGGGGAATGCCGGCAGCGGTGTGTGTGCTGAAGAATGCCTTCTCTTTTCATTTCCAAGTTCCTTTGCGTGCTGCCTCCGTCCTTTCATCTCTCTCGTCTCGCTAACTCTGGACAATGTCTTGGCCGACGGCCACTACCACACAAACACAGAACAAAACCAAGCCGACGCAGCCTGTGTCTGTCTCTGCGCCCGTCAGTCAGCCGAGAAACAGAAACAGCACGTCCCGAACGTTCAGGAAGCAAGGGCTAGTGATTAGGCGGGGCAGACTTAGAGCCATCGATGCATTGTTGTGAGATTAGTGGTAGAAATGGAGCCGTGTTAGTCTGGTGCAGATGACAAAAAAGACAGGACTGTGTAGCACTTTAAAGACTAACAAGATGGCTTAATAGGTCTGGCCCACGAAAGCTCATCTCCTATTAAACCATCTTGTTAGTCTTTAAAGTGCTCCACAGTCCTGTTTTTTGTTGTGAGATTGTGAGTGGAGTAGGTTAGCGAGGCGATTGAATTGTGATGGTTGTTTGTCAATGAGAAACGTGGCGCTTTATGGATCGATTTGTAAAAAAATCCAACATCTAGGGTTGCCAGATGGTTTCAGAAAAAAATTGGCATAATAACTCACGGGAGATATTTAAGCGCAGGTTAGATAAACATCTATCAGGGATCATCTAGATCAGGGGTGACCAACCCATTAAACGAAGAGAGGCGAAATAGTGGCGGAAAAAATGCGAAGAGCCACACCTCCCCGGGGAAAAATGGACCGAGAGTTAAGCACAAAAAAAAAAAAAAAAAGATACAGTATTAAAAAAGCATGGCCCCTTTAAGAAAAGTCTTTAGGCTTTTTTCTGGCGGTCATCTTGTTTTCTTGATCAGAACCAGAAGGCAGCTTCCCTGCGGAACTAGGTAAGTGGGAGGGGAGGATTCAGGGGGAGTCCTGGGATCCGAGGGGGGGGGCAGGGGCTGGGCCTGGTTGCTGAGTGTGTGTAGGATTGCCAGGTGTCTGGTATTTTCACCTCCTGAAAGGGGGGGGGGGGCGGAAAAAACAGACATCTAGGGTTGCCAGATGGTTTCAGAAAAAATCCCGGGAAAAAATGGACTGAGAATTAAGCACAAAAAAAAAAAAAAAAGTGCGTGGCCCCTTTAAGAAACACATTGAGAAACGTGGCGCTTTATGGATTGATTTGTAAAAAATCCAACATTTAGGGTTGCCGGATGGTTTCAGAAAAAAATCCCGGGAAAAAATGGACCGAGAGTTAAGCGCCCCCAAAAAAAAAAAAAAGCACGTGGCCCCTTTAAGAAACACATTGTGAGGCTTTTTAGCCGTAACCGGTGGCCACCTGCCATCTTGCCTCCCTGCGCCAGGCCGGACAGCTCCCCAGTAAGCACTAGGGGTTGCCTGGGATTTTCACCTCCTGGCCAGGAAAAAATCAGAAAATACCAGATGTTTTAGGTGTCCGGTATTTTCGGAATTATTTTACCGGAGAAGAGGCGAAAATACCAGACTGTCCGGGTCAATGCCGGACACCTGGCAACCCTGCCGACATCCGATTTAAAGAACGAAGCGTGGATTTTTATCCACCCGGCTAGAATGAAGCCGGAGGCTCTTCCTTTGGAAGGGGGAGGTCTTTTCAGTGACAAAAAAAGACGATTTGCCGAGAAAAGTGAAGGACACAGCTGGAGCTGGGAACGCTGGGGGTGATCAGCACCAGCTCCGCAAATCGCATTGGCCAGGAACCAGAGCCAATAGGAGCGGAGGGGACGGCTTTGAGCGCAGACCCACCTGGCCACGCCTCCACCGAGGGACTGGGTATGGCTGCGGCATCCTGGTCAGGAGCAGTGGAGAACCAGGGCAGAGTGGGTTGACGGGGAGCAGCATCTGCCCTCACCCCAAACCTCCTTCCTTCTGCTCTCTGACTGCCTCTCACCCCAAACCTTCTCCTGCACCTCACCTCCCTGTACCATCCCCATCCCAGAGCCCCCCACCGCTGTCTCCCACCCCAGCCTGAAGCCTCCTCCCGGGGCCCGAGCCCTCGTTAGGGGGTCAGGAAACACGCCATCTATTCCCAAATGATTCATCTCAGATTTAACTTCAAGAACTGGCTACCCACAGCAAAGGACTTTTTGTAACGTGGAGGGCTACTCATTTTGTACGCTCTCTTTTAATTTTGAGCGGGAAACTGCCCCCTTGCCGCCCCAGTCAGACCTGTGACAAGCATCTCTCTTCTGTTCAGGTGTGGAAGATGCAGGTCTTCATCCGTCCTGCAGGAGATAAGAAAGAGGCTAGGCGAAACGAAGAGCTGCAGGTGGATGTTGGCAGGTGTAAAAAGACCCCCCAGCTCAGTATGCATCAGGGGGTGTGGCTGCCCTGTAGCGCCAACTGCTGGCCAAGTGTGGTTCTGCAGCACTCTCTGTTTCCCCTTTACTCAGCCCCTCAATAGTTCTACAGAGGATTGTCTCCAGTCAACACCCGTTTGCGGGGTCAGGTGTATTAACACAAAATAAACCCGTGAAATGAGGAGTAACGGTAGTTCGAACTAGGAAGACTAGTCCGAACTACCTAGTTCATGCCCCGTGTAGCCGCGCTGCACGGGGTTCGAACCAGCGGGGTTTTAAAAATGGCGGCTCCCCGCTTATGCAAATGAAGCCCGGGAAATTCAAATCCCGGGCTTCATTTGCAAGTGCGGTATGCCTACATTACCCTCCTAGTTCGAACTAGCGGGCTAGTGTAGACATACCCTCAGAGTCTTTTTCAAATTCCTTTCTTTCGCCTTAGTTTGAAGCTGGGCACAACTCCCCCACCATCTTGAGGGACAATCTTCCCAGCACTTAGTACCCATTGTTTGACTCTGGGACGTCTTCTCCCCAGGCCACCTTCCCCAGTTATATCTCCCCCACAACTCACCGATGGGGCCCATCAGCCATATGACTTTCCTTCTCCATACATGAGAAGATGAGAATAGCGATAGAGATGTAGCCGTGTTAGTGTGGTCTAGCTGAAACAAAAGACAGGACTATGCTGCACTTTAAAGATGAACAAGATGGTTTATTAGGGGATGAGCTTTCGTGAGCCAGACCCACTTCCACAGATCAAATTGTGGAAAAAAATTGGCACGACCGTATATACCAAAGGGATACAATCAAAGAAAATGAATACATATAAAATTGACGAATCAGGCGATGAGAGACGCTTATCACAGATGGGCTGAGACCCATCGTCTGTGTTGCCACCACCTTGTGACTCAGACATTCCAAGGTGAGTAACATTCTCCGAAGTGAGATGTTGGTAGATTGAGTGAGAGAACGCCCGTCCCGCCTCACTGAAAAGAAATACCTATAGAAGAAGGATCTCTTAGCAAAAAGCCAGCTAGATTCATGCAGTGTGCACGGACTTTTGCAAGGAGCAACCGTGCGGAGGAGATAGGATCCAGTCAAAAAAGCGCCCCACTCCACCCGGTCTTTTGCCTTTTATCTGATTCTTGTTTTTTTGTTTGTTTACAATTCCATAGACTGTCTGTCAATCTGATGCGTGCGAAATCTCAGTAAGTAGCACGGCGCTTCTAGATCCCTCGCTGCCCTTCTGCTTTGAGCAGGAAATAACGGAGTGTCGCTGCTCGCCTAGCAACGCGGCAGAAGAGGGCTGGATGCATGAGTCCTTTCACGGCAGAAACGGGTCGATCAGCTTAGCCGTGGTGTTTAAAGGGTGCGGGGGAAGGCCCCGTAGACCATCCATCAGCTGACGAAACTAGGGGTACGTCTAGACCACAGGCTTTTGTCGACAGGCTTTGTCGACATACTGTCGACAAAGCTTCGGTCGACAAAGAGCGTCTAGACTCCATCCAGTTCTGTCGACAAAGCAAGCCGCTTTCTCGACATAACAGTGTGGACGCAAAGGACAGTGTAGATGCAATAATGCCTTCTATCGACAGAACGCTGTCGACAAAAGGCGTTATTCCTCGTAGAATGAGGTTGACATACGTCGACAAAACTGCTGAGTTTTGTCAACGTTATGTCGACATAACTCAAAGGCAGTGTGGACACAGGTATAGTTTAGTCGACAAAAGTCCACTGTTGTCGACAAAACCCGGTAGTCTAGACACACCCTAAGTGTTAACTTCTATTCCTCCAAGGGGTCATTAGTAAATTCAACAGTGGCAATTTGACTGCACATCAAAACTTGAGTTCTCGGGTTAAATCCTCATTATTGAGTTTTCTTAAGGAAAGGCTGGAGCTTTGGCAGCCGGGAACGGTTTCTTTGTAGGCATTTTTTCCTTTCGCTGGTTTGTCGTCGTAGGGGAATGAATATTTTACTCGTCTTGAGAAATCCCAGACTTGAATTGAACCCTTGCAAATAGCTTTCTTTTCTAGACTAGGCTGAGGAGATGGCTACCACAAAGGAAACTTTAGGAAAGATGAATTGGAGAATCCAGAGGAGAACAACAAAACGAATACAAGATTTAGATATCCTGCCTTAGGAGGAAAGATTAAAAAACAAAACCCTGCACGTTTAATCGGGAGAAAAGAAACCAAAACGGGGCTGTTGAAAAGAGGCTCACGATCAATTTTTCTCCATGTCCACTAGCCGTAGGACAAGAAGTTATAGGCCTACTCTCCAGCAAAGAGAGATTTCGGTTAGAAGTTAACCACTTTCTAATTGTGACGGTAGTTAACTCCAGGAATACACTGCCAAGGGAGATTTTGGAATCCCTATCCCAAGAGGGTTGTAAGCCCAAATTGCACGTTTACTAGGTCCTCCCCTGGCACAGGAGCCTGGACTTGATGGCATATTAACATCTCTCTCGGTTTACCGATTACAGTTTGATGATTCTAAGTAGTAATACTGGCTAAGTGAGAGCTGTGAAGTAGTTTTAATTATCACATGAGTTTCAGGGTGGTCCTTCCCTCACCTCTACCTTTACTTGAAAGTTGAGTCCGTTGCTGTTTTCAGATTCCTCCCGTTCCCTCCCAGTATTGGTGTACGTAAGACCTAGGGGTCAGCAAATGAAATGAAGAGGCAGCAGGCTTCAAACAAACCCAAGGAAGTTTTTCTTCACTCAGCCCACAACGAACTTGTGGAACTCCTCGCCACAGGATGTGGTAAAGGCTAGGACTTGAACAGGGTTCAAAAAAGAGCTAGATAGATTCGTTGAGGTTAGGTCCATCAATGTCTATTGGGTAGGATGGGGGAATTTGTATTCCCCTCACATAGCTCCTATGTTGCCACGTCAGGAATTCAAAACCTTTAGTTCATGTTGCTAATGTTTTCTGGCGTTCTAAAACATTGGCAGCGTTTGAAAGGGGGGTCATTACTTTCAGGAGAGGGGGGAGAGACTGAAATGGTGCAGTACCTCCATACTTTGCCCTTGTTGACCGTGGATAATGATGCATGGGTGCTTCTGGAAAAACTTGCTTCCCTGCCGCCGTATTTCGGTTGTTCCTGTTGGATGATGTGCTGCCTACAAATATAACATCGCTCTTTGACGAGTATCTAACTGCCCTGAAGGAGTTTGATTTGTGGAGTGCTTCAGCATGCAAAAAAGGCTTGTGTGAAGGGAAGAGACTTTCTGGGGATGAAGGAGGAGAATAAGACAGAAAATATCTCATTGCCTCTGCCTAAAACCGTGGGGCGCCCACATCTTGAATACTGTGTACAGATGTGGCTGCCTTATTTAAAAAAACTCTCTTAGCGTTGGAAAAGGTTCAGAAAATGATTTGGGGTTTGGAACAGGTCCCGTACGAAGAGAGATTAAAAAGACTTGAGCTTTTGAATTTAGAAAAGAGGAGACTAATAGGGGATAGGATAGAGGTCTGTAAAATCATGAGTGGCATGGAAAAAGTGAAGAAGGAAAAGTGATTGACTTATTCCCCCAATAGAAGAACTAGGAATCACCCAATGTAATTCATAGGCAGCAGGTTTAAATCAAACAAAAAGTTGTTCTTCGCTCATTGCACAGTCAACCTGTGGAACTCCTCGCCAGAGGATGCGGTGAAGACTAGGACTTGAACAGGGTTCAAAAAAGAGCTAGATAGATTCATGGTGTTGAGGTCCTTCAATGGATATTAACCAGGATAGGTAGGAATGGTATAAAACATGATGCAGGTTTGTAGGGTTTTCCAAAGAATTAGAACCGAGGCTGTCTGAGCAGAAAGGGAGGGCTCTGAGTTTGAATGAAGTAGGGTGTTCTCATAAAATAGCCCCACCGCTTCATGTATTGCTCGCCATAATCTTTCCTTGCTAACTATAGTCCATGGGAGAGCAATCGGAAAAGATTTATTATTTTAGAAGCAACTCCGGGAGCAATGTAAATGGTGTATCTGTGTACGGTACCTTTTAGAGTTCCCTCATGATGCCGTCTGAATGCCTTGCAATTTTTTGTGTATTTATTTCACAACTGGGATGCCAGGTCACTGAGATTAAGTGACTTTGCCAAGGGTCACACAGGAAGTCTGTGGCAGGGCAGGGCATCTCCTGAGCCCCAGACTAGCACCATACATATACTGCCTATCCCTTAGTTTTTGCCATGAGATAAACTGTGGTCTCAGCTAGTACTACGTCGTCCTAGATCATAGGTTCCCAAACTGGGGGGGGGGCGTGCCCAGAAATTTCAGGGGGGGGAGCAAGGTGACCCAGCCCCTCCCATTAATCCCCCTCCCAAGAAAGAGCACAGTCCATCCAGTAAAAAAATTCAGAAAATACCATGCGAACTCTCAGGTATTTTCTGTTTTTTCTGGCTTGGGTGTCTGCCGTAACACATGCAGCTCAGGCAGGCTCAGGCAGGGGGAGGATGGAGCATCCCAGGCAGACTTCAAGATGGCCACCTTAAAAGGGCAATGCCTGCTCTGCTTTTCTGCTGGAATACCGGCATCTTTTTTTTTTAACAGTGGTCCCAGGAATTAAAGGGGCCATGCCTGTCTTTTTTTTTTTTTTTTTTTTTTTGGCTCATCAAGTTTTGCTTCTATTTTTGGGGAGGGAGAAGGGGTGTGATGCCAACAAGTTTGGGAACCACTGTCCTAGCTGGATTCTCAGCTGCGAATCAACGGAGCAAGGCGCAATCTCACATACAGCTATACCCCGCATGTGAACTATTGATTTAGTTCGATTTACAGCTGGTGTTCTCCAACAGGCTGTTATAGAGCATGCTGAGAAACTGCAGTGCCAGTGCATTTTGGACTAAGGCCGTTTAATCTTTTTCAATTCCAGGTTCACTGTCCTAGCTGGATTCTCAGCTGCGAATCAACGGAGCAAGGCGCAATCTCACATACAGCTATACCCCGCATGTGAACTATTGATTTAGTTCGATTTACAGCTGGTGTTCTCCAACAGGCTGTTATAGAGCATGCTGAGAAACTGCAGTGCCAGTGCATTTTGGACTAAGGCCGTTTAATCTTTTTCAATTCCAGGTTCCGTTGCAGCTTATAGAAAGCGTTGAATGCCCAGAAATATTTCAGCTTCATTTGACTTGCAAAGACTGCAAAGTGATCAGGTAGGTGTAGGCTACTTTGCAGGAGGGGAAAGGTTGCTTCCTTTAGGAAAATACGACATCGAAGCAAGGTAATCTTGCACGTCTTCAGCTTACGGCTGGCTGCACCATACTGGGGGAAATATTCCCCCTTTTATACACGCACTTTCTTCAAAAGATTCCTTCTGTGCTTTGAACATTTTCGGAAAGAAGATAACAGATTAGGCCTCAGCTGGAGTGTTGTGTCCAGTTCTGAGCACCGCCTTTCAAGAAAGAGGTGGAAAAACTGGAGACGGTCCAGAGAAGAGCAACACAATTGATGAACGGCCTAGAAAACATGAGCTAGGAGGGAAGGCTGAAAGAATTGGGCTTGTTTCGTTCGGAAACGAGAAAACGGAGGGGGACAGGATAGCAGCTTTCAAAGGTGTTACAAGGAGGGAAGACTGAAAGAATTGGGCTTGTTTCGTTTCCAAACGAAACAACGGAGGGGGACAGGATAGCAGCTTTCAAAGGTGTTACAAGGAGGGAAGACTGAAAGAATTGGGCTTGTTTCGTTTCCAAACGAAACAAGCCCAATTCTTTCAGTCTTCCCTTCTTGTAACACCTTTGAAAGCTGCTATCCTGTCCCCCTCCGTTGTTTCGTTTGGAAACGAAACAAGCCCAATTCTTTCAGTCTTCCCTTCTTGTAACACCTTTGAAAGCTGCTATCCTGTCCCCCTCCGTTGTTTCGTTTGGAAACGAAACAAGCCCAATTCTTTCAGTCTTCCCTTCTTGTAACACCTTTGAAAGCTGCTATCCTGTCCCCCTCCGTTGTTTCGTTTGGAAACGAGAAAACGGAGGGGGACAGGATAGCAGCTTTCAAAAGGTACTACAAGGAGAGAGAAAAATTGTTCTCTGTGGCCTCTGAGGACAGGACAAGAAGCAATGGGCTTAAACTGCAGCAAGGGAGGTTTAGGTTGGACATTAGGAAAAACTTCCTACCTGTCCGGGTGGTGAAACACTGGAATAATATCCAAACTGGATCTCTCCCACCGCAACTTGAGCCCGTTGCTCCTTGTTCTGCATCCGTCACTACCGAGAACAGATCCTCTTTGGAACTTCCCTTCAGGAAGTTGAAGGCTGCTATCAAATCCCCCCTCACTCTTCTCTTCTGCAGACTAAACAAACCCAGCCTCTCCTCGTAGGTCATGCACTCCAGCCCCCTAATTATTTTGGTCGCCCTCTGCTGGACCCGATGCGTCCACATCCTTTCTGTAATAGACGACCCAGAACCGGACACAGTACTCTAGGTGTGGCCTCAGAAGAGCCGAATAAATGGGAATAATCACTTCTCTGGATCTGCTGGCAATGCTTCTCCTAATGCACCCTAATCTGCCATTCGCCTTCTTGGCTACAAGGGCGCCCTGTTGATTCATCTCCAGCTTCTCACCCACTGTAACCCCAGGTCCTTTTCTGCAGAACTGCTACTTAGCCAGTCGGTCCCCAGCCTGTAACAATTCTTGGGATTCTTCCGTCCCAAGTGCAGGATTTTACACTTGTCCTTGTTGAACCTCATCAGATTTCTTTTGGCCAAGTCCTCTAATCTGTCTAGGTCACTCGTGTACCCTATCCCTGCCCTCCAGCGTATCTACCTCTCCCTCTGGCTTAGTGTCATCTGCAAACTTGCTGAGGGTGCCATCCATCCCTTCATCCACGTCATTTATAAAGATGTTGAACAAAACCAGTCCAAGAACAGATCTTTGGGGCATTCCGCTAGAAACCGACCCGTCAACCTGACACCGAGCCGTTGATCGCTCTCTGTTGGGCCCAACCGTCTAGCCAGCTTTCTGTCCATCTTACAGTCCATTTATCCAATCCATATTCCCTTAACTTGCTGGCAAGAATATTGTGGGAGACCGTATCAAAAGCTTTGCTAAAGTCAAGGTATAACATCCACTGACTTTCCCATATCCACAGAGCCATAAATTAGGATAAATTACTGTTGGCTCCTACACGTTAATGACAAGGGAATATATATATTTTTTTAATTAAACATTCGCAAGCATTACTTTTTGTGCAGTGGAATAGTTCCAGCCCAGCACGTCGCACTCAGAAAATGTAGACTGCTCTCTGCTTTTCGGGCCATTGCATTTTGACGAGGACAGGGTGGGCTGAACGTTCGAAACGTAAGGGGAAATGTCATTTACGTCCTCTGGAGTCGGAACTGTTTCTAACTGTAAACTTCTGAACCAGTTTGGGCACTTATTTTCCCCATCCTGCACCCGAGTCTTGTGCTGTAGTGCATTCATTTGGAAATGCTAAGCTGGTTTTGTAATTATGGAAAGTTATTTTGCAAACGAGTGGGTTTTGGGGTTTTTTGGTCAGGGTACTCTTAATTCATCTTTCATTACTGTTGCTGTACTGTGAGGGCAGGGAGAGGGAAAGTTTGAATGAAATAAGTATGGTGTATACTTGCCCTCTGGCGAAATATTAGTAAAGAGAAGAAACGGTTTAGCATTGGAGGGGGTGGAGAGGTGTAGGACTACTGACATGGGGACTTGTTCACCTTGGTTTGAAGTGCATCGTTCAGAGGGAAAACATTATTTATCCTGTATCGGACCGGATTAAGAGTCTTAAACCGAAACATTAACACATTCTGGGCATGGGACCGCTCTTGAGTTTAGACATTTGCATAAGTACCTTAATGAACTAGGGTCTGAGCAACTAGGATAATAATTCCGAAATTATGTTCTTTATACATATGTTTAGTTTGACTTCATGTCGGCTCCGTCTTGCCGTATGATGCTAGCAAGGATCATAGGTTTTTCTTTTAAAAACCTGTCTTTACAACGAGGGTGATTTTTCTCCCTCGGTATTGTTCCTTACGTTCTGAGAGCATAGGCACGTGCAAAAGAAATAGGTTTTTTGGGGGGAAGGAGAGTTCCTTAGGAGAATTACATTAATAGCTGAGTAATTATTTGTACTGTCCAGTTAAGTTTACACAACAGAATCTGAGGGTATGTCTAGACTACAGGGTTTTGTCGACAGAAGTTTTGTCGACAGATAGGGTGTGTCTAGACTACAGGGTTTTGTCGACAAAAGTGGACTTTTGTCGACACAACTATACCTGTGTCTACACTGCCGCTGAGTTCTGTCGACATAATGTCAACAGAACTCAACAATTTTGTCAATGGCGGTAAACCTCTTCCTATGAGGAATAACACCTTTTGTCGACAAAGTCCTGTCGACAGAAGGCATTATTGCATCTATACCCTCCTTTGCATCTACACTGCTTTGTCGACAGAACTGGCTGTAGTCTAGATGCTGTTTGTCGACAGAAGCTTTGTCGACAGTATCTGTCGACAAAACTTCTGTCAACAAAAGCCTGTAGTCTAGATGTACCCATGCTGTCGACAAAGAGCGTCTAGACTACAGCCAGTTCTGTCGACAAAGCAAGCCGCTTTGTCGACATAACAGTGTGGACGCAAAGGACAGTGTAGATGCAATAATGCCTTCTATCGACAGAACTCTGTCGATAAAAGGCGTTATTCGTTGTAGAATGAGGTTTACATAGGTCGACAGAACTCAAAGGCAATGTGGATGCAGGTATAGTTTTGTCGACAAAAGTCCACTTTTGTCGACAAAATCCTGTAGTCTAGACACACCCTGAAATAGAAAGGACTGTTTATTCACACCTCCGGTTTGCGCGGAAGTTAATAATCATTCATCGCATGTTTGATCTGATGTCTGTGGGTGAAAATTAATAAACGTGTGTTTTGGTGCCGGGCCAGGTGTCAGTTTTCGACCTTTGAGCAGTGTCAAGAGTGGCTTAAGCGGCTGAACAATGCCATTCGCCCTCCTTCGAAGATAGAGGACCTTTTCTCCTTTGCATACCACGCGTGGTGTATGGAGGTGTATGCCAGCGAGAAAGAACAGCACGGTGTTTTGTGCCGGCCAGGTATGCAACACGCTGTATATCCCGAGAGATTTTTTTTTCCCCTGTGCTATCCCTTCTTCTCATGATTCCTGGAATGCAAGGAATTTGTGAGCTTGCAAAAAAGTTTGACACAGCGTAAATTCTGTACTCACGTTACCTTTGACCTGAATACCCTGTTCAAAACAATTTCACACGTATTGTCTAACTAACCTACTGCATCAATTTTGTGCTTTCATAACATGACTCGGTGGGGTGGGCGGCTGCGTATGAGTTAACCAACTAGGGCCGCTGTTTGTGATGTAGGAGAGTTGTGAAGAATCCTTTTGCTCCTTGAAAGCTTGGTTTGAATTCCAGCTCAGGTTCCGATTCTGAGTTTGATTCTGGTTCTCATTGGTGCCCGCTAAAAACTTGCCAAATTATACACCGTTAAATGTGAATGGCGGTTTTTGTTCAATCGAGGTCCAGGTTATCACCAGTCAAATTGAATATGGAGAAAGCCTGCGTAACTCCGTCAGCACTCTGAACACTTTGTTTTCACAAATGCCGCACTCCCCCACAGGTTAAAATAGAAAAATGGCTACGTAACAGAAGCAAAACCAGAGTCCTCGCTTTCTTCCTGAATATCCTGAGTGGGAACAGTGGTGGTTCTTCGAGTAGCATCCCTATGGGTGCTTGACCCTACGGATGCATTTACGCTGCACTGTAACTCGAAGTAAGATTCACAATTCAAGCTACGCAAATTGTGTATCTTATTTCAATGCTATTTGGAAATAGCTTATTTTGTCATTTGGCCAAATTTCAAAATAACCCGCTCTTGTAAAACGTCTCTTACTCCTCATGGAATGAGATTTACAGGGACGCTGGAATAGCTGCTGTGAAAACGCGGGATAGCTGTTTCGCGATACTCCGGTATCCCGAAATAGCGTTGCAGTGTAGACATAGCCTACATGTGCTTGTGTCCCTGTGCTGTAGATCCAAGAACTTCCGTAGCAATGTCCTCTCCCTGCCTGCCCCCATTTAATCAGTTAAGCGGTTAAACATAACGGTTAACCCGTTAACTAATGAAACAGAATTTTACATCCCTACTAGGGTATTCCCAGTACCACCAGAACCTATCAACGGCGACCTTGAACATACTGTCGAAGCAAACGCCTCACTCAGTTTACGCGGCTAAACAGACAGTTTTATTGGCCAATAAAAGCAAAGTGAGCCAAACGTGGTCACAGCAAAGCTGGGCCCAGTAAGGCTACCTAATACAATCAATCCTAGTATCTTTATACCCTTAACCAAACAGTCTGACGTCAGGGCATCCAATTACAGAAATAATCAATTAGACTAGGAAAAACAAAGCCTTATCAACATGATGGCGGACAGGTACGAGGGAGTACCTCTCCTCTCTGAACCAGCCCAATTAACACATTCCAATAGCACATCTGTCTTGGCCTGGCGCATGGGGTGATAGAAAGTTCACTCTGGCCTACGTGCAAAGACAAAAAGCTGAAATGGTTTCTGTTATACAAGATGGCTTCTAGCTAAACATAAACTAACTTCATCAACTCCCCCCTTTTAGCCTTTTAAAGGCTAACCATGAAACCATTTTACATCTCCATTTTCATCAAAGCCTTTATATACATTTCTTGTTCCTCTCTCTGCTCATCATATTTTAACATCATTACTTCCACATTCTTGAGGCACGTCCTTTCAGCTGCAGGTTCTAGAGCTTTGCAGCCTCTGGAAGAAGTTGTGGAAAACACAAGGGCGCTGCTGAGAAAGAAGTGATCTCCAAGGACCATCTCCTCCTCCATCTCTGGTGGATGAGTTTCTCCTCTTCCAGGACCTGGCCAAGAGACGCCGTCTACATACTTTTAGAGAGAGTCATGGACATACATTGTCTCCTTGCCCTAGTCTACTCTCTCTCTTCTTCAAAGATCACCCTACGCATTAACGAGGCCATTCAGGACTTGATGAGAACCATCTAGTAGACCCCAGGGTCTGTGCTACCTCCTTGAAATGGACGGACAAAAATGATGATGTCCTAGTGCAGAAGACTGAGTTCCTCTTCTCCCATCCCTCCACGTATGACCCTCAATGCTGTGATAGCTAAGCATCTGCCAATTGTTAATGAATTTTAACTTCAGACTAGCGCTAGAAGGAAGGGAGGAAGGATTGAGTGAGTTGGTCCCAAGGTCATGGCGGAATGGGGAATTGAGCTGAAGTCTCCATGCTGCGCCCGTTAGACCGTCTGTTCCTCCCAGCTGGGTCTCAGGTAGATCAGAGCTTAGTTTGTTTCTCACGGATACCAAACACACCTGAGCTCTGGAAAAGAGACATGACTAGATCTTGCATCTCTGTGGTAGAGTGTATTTTGGACTTCATTAGAGCGCACACATCGAAATTATACCTGTGTTCCCAAATGTGTTTAATCTGGTCTGCTACCTCCTCAAAATGTTGGTGTTTCCTCTATGAATCTACAGGGACCAAGACTCGAGACTAGTGTTCCCTGTAAGCTGTGCGCTTCTGCAGCCATTCGGGGGAGATTCAAATGCCGCATAGTTTCTGCTGGTGATGCACATTCACACATGCTCTGGGGCATGTAAAAAATTATTCTGCACATGGATGGAAAAGAATGAGGGAACATTGCTTGAGACTGTTCAACAATCATTAGCTACTCTTTACTGCATAGAGAAGTCGATTACCGACTGCCATGATGCAAACAGTTGAATTCTTGCTTGATGTGCATTTTTCAAAGTGGGGATTAAAAATGTGTACCGCTGTCCTGTTGTTACACAGTGTCTATTTCTTTCCAGATTCTTATATGAGTGCAGTCGTGTCTTTCACAACCTTTTTTGGAAAGTCTCAACCTTTCCTTGTGTTTCTCATTTATTTCCTCTGTCTGCCTTTGCTACCCAGGGGAGCATGTAACATCGAGGTTTAAAAATGAAGTTGAACGGATGGGATTTGATATGAACAATGCCTGGAGGATATCCAACATCAACGAGAAATACAAGTAAGTCGTATGGATTGCGGTAGACTGGTGCTTTGCAGCCACATCTCCAATCAAAATAGTAATCCTCATGTGGCAGATCACTGAAACTGTTTAAAACGGAGACGTTCTACACTAAGGCTGTGTCTAGACTACAGGGTTTTGTCGACAAAAGTGGACTTTTGTCAACAAAACTATACCTGCGTCTACACTACTGCCAAGTTCCGTCGACATAATGTCGACATAACGCGGCAGTTTGTCGATGGCGGTAAACCTCATTCGACGAGGAATAACGTCTTTTGTCGACAGAAGGCGTTATAGCATCCACCCTGTCCTTTGCGTCTACACTCTCATGTCGACAAAGCGGCTTGCTTTGTCGACAGAACTGGATGTAGTCTAGACGCTCTTTGTCGACAGAAGCTTTGTCAACAGTATCTGTCGAGAAAACCTCTGTTGACAAAAGCCTGTAGTGTAGACGTAGTCTAGACGTACCCTAAAGGATAAGCTGCACAAGGGAAAAATTGGCGTATGCCCTGTTTTGCTGATTTATGTATTGATAAAGAATGCCTTACATGGGTTTCCCAAAAACGAGAAATCCTGTGGCACCTAGAGTACGTCTAGACTGCGGTGCTGTTTTATCCCAAATAGCTATTCCATGTCTTTTAAACCAACCCATTATTTCAAAATAGGTTTCTAAATAACCAGCTCGCTATTCTGACATCCCTGTAACCCTTGTTCCACGAGGGTTAAGGGACTTTTCGGAATAGCGGTTTATTTCTAAATCAGAGCAAAATAAGATACGCAAGTTGCGTCGCTCAAATTGTGTATCTTATTTTGACTGACGGGTGCAGGATAGATGCATCCTTAGAGACCAACAGATCTAGTAGGACAGTATTTCTCAACCAGTGGTACCAGTACCGTTAGGAGTACTTGAGAGAAGTCTGGTGGCTACGTCAGCACAACTGAAATTTGGAGAAAACTAAATTTTTGTTTGTTTTACAGCACTTTATTATTTTTGTACTGTTTACATCCACAAATGTCATCTCCTGCCCGGCTGCGATTAAGTTGTTTCAACAAATGTGTTGCAATAGTAGGAAAAAATTGGTATGTGTCTAAAAACTGGAGGTACTGGGGGTATTTAGAATTTTTTTTTAAAGGGGGTACTTTATAAAAAAAGGTTGAGAAACATTCTGCTAGGGCATGAACTTTCGTGGGTAAAACCACTTCATCAGATGAATTGGAGTGGAATTTACAGAGGCAGGGGGGGGGGGGGGGTGGGGGGGGGGGGGGTTACAATC